TGTTTTTTTTTTTTTTTTTTAAATCATTCCAATGTTATTGGAAAACATCAGATCCATCTGAATTGAACTTTTTTTTCATCAGATCACATTGTACAGTACATTCCTCCACTCTTCCTTCTAGGTCCGAGCGAGGCGTGTACCCACTGGAAAAAAAGCGAACCAAATAATTAAACTCGTCACCTTCGAAAACCACTTATATCATATTTTATGCTGGTCGGTAACCTTGTATTATGTAATTTTCATATTCGAATGCCATCATACCGCTGGTCCGATAAAAAAAAAGGATGTTGCGGAAGGGGATCGAATTTATTCGACCAAAAGTAAGCATTGACTTCCTCCAGGAGAAGAAGATGGTCAACGACTACTAATTAATACTAGTCTACTGTTAACATTTGAAAAATGATCCGTGCTGGATAGGTTGTGATGGCTTCACAAGTAATCGAAGTTGTTATGTTTAACATCCGAAAGACTTCATGTAAGACTTGTTTAAATATAAAATAAAAAAAAAAAAACTTGTAAAAGTGCGAGCTAAATTGCTCTTACGTGATAACAAAGTGTTTAAATTTTGGCAACAGATTGTATAAACTACATGGAAAGTATGTTCTCGTAAATATTGCATTTATAGAAAAATTATTGGGCTGAAATTAAAAAAAAAAAAATCGTTGATCTATAAATTCAGACTATTGTCATCTGTCTCTGTCTGTCTGTCCTTCCTTAATCTCGAGAAAGGTGTTATATAAATGAGAGCCGAGAAAAGATTCGAAACACTTAGGATCAGGAAATACAGATTAACTTCCACTTTCAAACGCAAGTCACGTTATGTTAATTGAAACTTTCTTTGAAGGGACTTACATACATAACCGGCACGACTCTATTGCTAACAGGAAAAGTATGATTTACAGGGGAAACATTACTACACTATGTGCCTAATGGCTCATCTATTTCGCGCTGTAACATTGTCGCAGTAATTCAGTGAATATTTTATATATATATTTCAGTGGCGTACCGTGGGTGTCACCCGCCCGGGGCGGAGGAAAATTTCGGCCCCCCCTTATTTAGGTATTTCAATTTAAAAAAGCAAAATTCAGTTTTGTCACAGAACAAGCAATGAAATTTTGTGCTAGTGCTGCGACCTGTTTAAAATAACTCTATTGGATATTAGTGGTGTATATGAACGCGAATGAATCGTAAAAGCTAAAAAAACAAAAAAAAATAAAAAAAAAAAGGTCAACAGGTTTCACAGGATTTCCTCGGATTAAAAATTACTAGTTCACCCAGACGGCGAGCCGACTCCCGAACTGTCCGGACGATAGCACTATCGTAGGGCGATGCAAATATAGATTAGGATGTTTCAAATTTTTACAAGATATTATTATTATTTATTGTGAAATTTTGCCGCCCCCTAACAAGTACCGCCCGGGGCGGGCCGCCCCTGCCGCCCCCACTACGGTACGCCACTGATATATTTGAAATTATATTATTTTTGCAAAAATTATACTTAGTCAATTGTTTTATTAACTTTTTTGCCAATAGATGGCGGTACCAGTAACTCGGGAAATCGAATTAAAAAATTTCATTCAATTATAGAAATGCAGTCTTTATATTTTAGGCTAAATGTATAACATGATCTAAGTTAGAAGAAGTAATTGAACGTAACTACCGACTTTCGTTTCAATTGGAAGAACGGCCTAGAAATGTATAGCGAACAAACAAACAAACATATAGAAGAAAAAATTATTATCATGGGAACTTAAACAAACAAATGCATTAACAAATTAATATTTAATCGAATTAATAAATCAACCGTCCCATTATATTAATTTCAAATTTATTGTTTCGATAATAATTGAATAATTTGGAAAATATCAACTAATAAATTCGATCAAAGAAAAAAATTAAGTTTAAATTCTAAAATCGCAGTTCTTTAAATAAATACCATATATTTATTTTACTTATAGCATGGAAAACAAACTAAAAGAAATGTGTTTGCTAATAAATGCCTACGATACTTCAAAAAATGAAGGGGATCAAGAGGCTCGGAATATATGTAAGGTTCGACTGCATCCACGATATGATTGCAATACTTATGATAATGATATCGCAATCGTTAACTTCGAACCACCTCTTTCTTTGGGCAACAGATTAAGAGCAATAAGTTTACCACCACCAAACTTTTATTTTACTGAAGGACTTACTGTCATCGCTTTGGGATGGGGTAGAAAGACTCCCGGTGAGTTTCAATTTTTAATTAATCTTTTTCATTCTATTAACATTAACTAATTAATTGTATTATTTTTGTATTAGATGGCACGACTGTCGATATTTTACAGGAAGCAAGGCTCAGTATTATTTCTGGAAATTCGTGCAAAAACTTCTTTCGTATCACCTCGGATCATCTTTGTGCAAAGAGGAAAAGTGGAAGTGCCTGCTACGTTCGTAATGTTTTATATTTAAAAATAATTTATTGTTAAATAACATTGTTAAATTTTAAAACAATTCGATTAATTATTCGAAATGAAATCTTCAATTAAACTGAAGACGTATTGAAAAATAAATAAATGTAATATTGAGGTTGAAGTATTCTACAGAATTAGGTTTTATTTCAATTATAGTTATATTATTATTTTAGTGTCATTATTTAATAATTTTAAGTGTTTTTTCCACGTTTTTTTTTCGTATACAGTACCTAAATTTTATAAGAATGCCTTAAAAATATGTACTTTACACATTTTGATTTACAGTCGACCCCCTATAACACTGTCGATAATTCCGTGTTATATGAATTCCATGTTGTACGAGTCACTTAAATTTTACAAATACGTGAACCATTCACAGCCTGGCACACGTATTTGTAAAATCTAAGTGACACGTACAACATGGAATTCATNTTTCCACGTTTTTACTCGTGTACAGTACCTAATGTTTATAAGAATGCCTTAAAAATCTGTACTTTACATACCCGTGCTTGAATCAATTACTGTAGGCCCTATGTAAACAGAAGCGCGTGTTGTTAACGCCACATAAAAGTTTATAATCAATTGTTAGACATACAAAGGTTGTGTATTATGTAAATCATTACATTATAAATTTAGAATAAAAATATAGTCCATTATAAGCTTTTTGTCTACAATCTACAAAGAGTTCAAGTAACTATAGAATCATTGTGGCGTAGTAAACACTAGTATTGTGTTTTATTCCAAAGACACATGGCAAATTTTCCATCAAATTCCTTTATTAGTTGAGTCGATACGGTACATTGTTTTGTACTCGTTTCGGGCTTTACCCCTCTTCAGTCAACTATAAAACAATAAATATTATTACAGTAGAGAACTTACATAAAAAACAATGAACACACAAACTATATACAGTCCTACCTTTGGTTACACTTTGTATAATTTAAAATCTTGTAAAATTTGCTTTAATCCTTATATGGATAAACCGGTATACATTACAATTTAAAAACTTCCATAAACCTTCCCTTTCTGATAGAATTTGACACAATACAACAATTAAAAACTTGAGTTGTTTCCACCCCTTTTTTTCCCTTCCTTTTTTGGTGTTTGAGCTGGTATCNAACAATAGCTAGTCTGTTAGCGCTGGTCAGTAGTAGTCCAAATTCAATACGAACGTTTCTTTCTTAAAAATTTGATTACGATTTAAATACAGTATTTACTTCTAATATTACCGATATGTCATCGAAAAGAAAACGTGTTGTATTATCATTAAAAGACAAATTAAAGTATTTGTTTCGATTATCCGGATTTTTCCTTATCCGGACTACTTTCATCCCCAGTTAGTCCGGATAATCGAGGTTCTACTGTATATTGTATTTTAGTTGACTGAAGAGGGGCAAAGCCCGAAACGAGTACAAAACAATGTACCGTATCGACTCAAATAATAAAGGAATTTGATGGAAAATTTGCCATGTGTCTTTGGAATAAAACACAATACTAGTGTTTACTACTCCACAATTATAAAACAGGACACGGTTTAAAAAACAAATCAACAAACTATAGAATCATATCTGCATTGTTGTTACAATATTTAGACATATCACCCATGTTTACGTTTTTTAATTATCGTTTACTGCACTAGAATGCATTTCGGCGATATATTCCTCTACTACAATATTAATTTATCAATTTCACAATTTAAAATATAAATTTTTTAAATGAAAAATTTAAAATTATTAATAAATTGCAGCTGCGTATAGACCTAAATCTAGTTCAATTAACCTAAAACGGATGGTGGTTAACATTAACAGGAACCAAATGATGATAATCGGAAAATGATATTATTAAGCAATTATAGGACATTTTGTCCCACAGTCCTCAATAATCGATCGATGAAATATTCAGAAATTTTATGTTTTTGTTTTTATAATTTAGTGTACGAATTACAACAGTTTTATTCAATCGATAAAGATTAACAACGTATAATTGTCTTTGTGTTTTTAATTAATTTAAAATAAAAATACTTAGCTTATGGATCAAAAAACATTTTTCTTTTGTATATTATTTCTAAGCTGTTATTGCTATTCAGTTCAAGAGGTAAGTTGTATTATCCTTAAGGCATTAGATTTAACTTTAAAACTTTAAAAGATATATTTTCTAATATGTTGTCAAGGTATTAATATATAACATTTTTTTTCTTTTCCAATTTCAGACTCCACCGTACGAAAATGATCCAAGTAAGTATTCGCAACTAAGAAATGTAACTAAAATATACCATCATTTAATCAAATAATATATTAAATAAACATGATAAATTTGTTAAACTAACTCTAATGATTACGTTACTTTAAATAAATTAAATAATTATAATTAGGACCAGAATGCATAAACGATATGAACAAGGAATATTACATAAGACAAAGAAGAATCATCGGAGGGGAAGATGCGGATGTGAATTCATTTCGTTTTGTGGTATCATGAATAAAATTTTGTTATAAAATAATTGCATAAATTATTTTTACAAATTTATAATTTTGTTTATGTTTTTTAAAGGCTGAAATTCTTTTTACTGGTATACCATTTTGCGCAGCATTTATCATTACGGATAAACATGTTTTGACAGCCGCTCATTGTTTCTACAAGTAAGTATAAATTACACAATTATTTTATTTGATTTCTAATGGAGTAAAAACAAATTTCCTAAAATTGTAGAGAAGGTACCAGAATCACTTACAAATTGAATCGAATGTTATTGGTCATTGGAGATTACAATGTTATGAAACTTGACGAAGTTAAACATCATATGCGAATTATATACGAAGCTCACATACATCCAGAATACGATGATGTCTCTGTCGATAACGATATTGCTGTTTTGAAGTTTGAACCAGCTCTTTCTTTGGGTAAAAACTTAAAGGCCACGATATTACCTCCTCCAAATACGGAACCTCCCGAAGGATCGACGGTCGTTGCGTGGGGATGGGGAGTAAATGCATTCGGCAAGTAACCGTGATGATTCTTATCCAAAAACTTGTTATTTATATTAATATTTTTTTATTAATATTTAGAAAAAGGCAACCGATCATATATTTTACAAAAAGTCGATATTCCTTACTTAGTGAAAGAAGTTTGCAAGAAAATGATTTCCCGTTTTACTGATAATATGTTTTGTGCTGGAAGAAAAGGAAAAATTACTTGCAGAGTGTGTATCCTTATTTTGCATTTTTAATTATAACTTAATTACAAATGAATTAAATATAAAAAGCATTTAATCTGCTAAAAATTACAAAGAAAGAAATTCATTTTATGATGCAATTACAGTAGAACCTCGATTATCCGACCCCATATCAACCGACCCTTCGGTTAACCGACCGTCCTAGTCGGCAAATTTCAAATGTCCGCTAGTGATGTGGCGCTACAATATTTGGCTATGTCTTGGCTATTTTAATAGTATTTTTGCGTGTTTCAGCTGGCAACATTGTCTCGACCATGAAAGGGAGCCAGTATTTAAACGAGGCTTAATTTTCTAATTTTTAACGATACAATAGCGA